TATGAGCAAGTTGTTCCGCCAGTTCCCTCAAGTACTGACGAATTAGTGCTTTAGGGATATCTCCGTGCGCGAAATGCTTGAGGATGATGCTTTTATCTTTCCACCACTGTCGAGAGTTTAAGGTAGAGCGGGACCGCTTTTTTTTCTGAGTTGAAGCGTCCCCGGAGCTGGCCTGGGGCGTCATCGGAGCTCGCTCGGGGCGAGCGACGGTTTCGGCGTTGCGTACAGCGCGCTCAAACTCTGGCCAAGTGTTCACAGACTCAAGTGAGCTGTTGCGCTGCATTTCTCTTCAGATGGATTCTAAGAGGCGGCTCCATACAAAGGCGATTTTAATCTCATGGAGTTCCTCTCTGTTAGAGGTTCAGAAAGGAGTGTTTTTTAGGAGACCCTCTCGCTAAGATAGCTAGGCAATAAAAGTGTTAAATGTATCGCCCACTTTCCACTCTGTATTCCAAAAGTGATAGTAGTTCTCGTACCGCGTTAGAAGAGGATCCTGAGTAAGCTCGCGTACTTTAGTTTAAAGCTGAGCCCAGGTTTCAATAGTGCCTTCGTCAATAGCGCGACTGATTAGGTCCTTGTGGACTTCAAACTAGATCTAGTTAACAATCCATCAGGTTCAAGTGGCAGAGTCATCTAGGAGGTCCACGTATTCCCAGATACCGTTCATATCTCTCACCCAGGTGTCTACCTGCTGTGGGGTTAGAGACTTCTTTAAGGAGCCAAGCTTTAGAGGGGCCTTAATCTTAGACAGCCAACTTAGGGTCTTGTCCAGGCCAGCTTAGGATCAGAGTTGATCCAGAGTGGTCCTAAGAGATAGGCCAAGGGTTGCAGAAGCAATCTAGGCCTGTTTGTGAGCTTAACTAATTTCAGCTTCCAGAGCTCCTTCAGCCTCAAGCTAAAAGGCTTTTGTAAGGAGCAATTGTACAAACGCTTTATTAGTTAAGGGTTGCACTAGGACAGCAGTAGAGCTAGTTTAGGCCTGCCCTAGAAGGGTACCGCAGCGTATCGCGTTTGCCCCTGTCGCTAACAGTTGCTGTGAGTGGCCTATAGGGAGCTGACCAGCAGTCCCTAGAGTTCTGAAACCTGGGGGGCTTAGTGTAACAAGGGGGTTATTTAATCCTTGTCTAGTGTGACCTAAAGAGTTTCTAGGTTCAGTCTAACCGCGTCCCTAACAGTTTCTAGGGTCTTGCTCATCCCCTAACTTAGAGACTTAGTGTTCCTTATCTTCCACCTCTTGTACTTGCTAATCTAGTGGAATTTAGTTAAGGCGCTAGGACGCGAGGTGCTCAAGGAGTTAAGCACTAGGGTTGTCATAGGGCGTCTCCGGGACGGCCTCGGAAGGGGTAGTGGCCGTGGCCCTGCTTTTGCGTGTGCGACTGCTGTTGGCCATTGTTGTTATAGCTCTTTAATTAAGGTGGAGCTTGAGGAGCGGTAGTGGAAGTAGCCTTCTGTTCTTCAAACTGACTGCGTCTCTGTAGGAGAGTATAAAGGATTTAAATTGTAAGAGCACTGTAAAGCAGGAAGCGTGAAGCGCAGAAGGGGGTACAGGATAGTATTAATAGACGAATCCTTGAGGAGACTCAGGGGTTCGTAAGAGGATATATATATATGTGCTGGGGCACGTGACGGGACGTCATGTGCCCAAGGCTGGGCCGAGGGCTCTCCGGGGAGAGTCCGAGGCATGTCCAAGTTGACCGTGACATAAGTAGACTCTTAAATCTCTTTCTAAGTGTTTTAGTCTATCCTATCTCCTGTCTGTTGTCTTAATAATGCCTAACACTAACTATTTTTTATTATAGAGCTATCTATCTACGCTTCTTACTACTATATAGGCTTTATCCAGTGAATTAGATATTAGTCTTGTAAGCTGCAGCAGTAGGTGGCTATAACTATATTATTTAACACCTACTCAGGGAGCATAAGGTTAACGTGTCACGTTTATGTTACAGCTGTCCAACCCCTGAGTACCCTAGGCTTGGCACGGGGTATATAGGCTCCTCCGCCTCTGTACCTCTCCCTCCGACCCTAAGGTTTACTCTCTCTCTCTCTCTCTCTCTCTCTCTCTTTTGGCTCTGCCATACATCCCCTATCCTGCATTCCCTCTCTGTGCCTTGCGCTTCCTGCTCGATACCTCTCACACAACGTTAATAAAGAGCTCTTACCTACTAGCGTACAACTCCTACAACACCTATAGAAGGCATCTAGAGGAGAATTAGTTATCTTATAGTTAATTAGACCCTAGTCCTGCGCCTTTAGAGGCTTATAATCTTAGCTGTTTCGACTAGAGTACAGCGTACTTTAATTAAATTGTACTACTTGTACAGATCACGTAAGCTGTAGCAGTTATAATACTTACACCTACCTCTTCTCCTCCCTATTGTACGAACGCACACAAAATCTCACTCGTACAGGCCTCAAAATCACCCAATCGTACAGTACTGCGCCTCGTTGGAAGCCCCGAAGGAATAACAGAATGTAAAGAGATACCAATTGCGCGACCTGAAAGATCCCAAGGTCCAACTCTTCAAGGAAATTCTTACAAACTTCGTTCCAGAGATCACCTATCAGGTTGTGCTCTTGGAGCTCCGCTCAAATCGTCATCCCTCCATCTGGGCTGTTGAAGTGGGCTTGGAACTCGATATTAATACTGACATATAGGCGTACCTATTCAGCAGGGTCTCAAGACATGACCATCCTGATGCTTCATGACCGCACTTCTTGGATTAGAAGAAACAATGTCATCAGGTCCGGATCTGATATTTTGATTGTCCTTAAACCTATTCCACAGGTGCGCACAAAGACAGAGAAGCTAGCCTCAATGTACTTGTCTATTCATTGCTAATCTCTTCTCTGGTCATCTTATTCTTGAACCTCAAAAACACAATGCTCGACGACCTCTTTTCCTGTCAGACAACTGAGAAACCAAACTACAGTCTTTGATTCCTGCTGAAGCTCCATCTCTTTCCGCACGAGATGGTTTTAATGGATCCCAGAAACACGAACCAGTATACTCAAAGGTGTAGGCTTGCGCAGCGCTGGCTGTTAGAGAAGGATCGCACGAGCTCGACTACCGATCCCAACCGAGTGCTTCACATCGCTCCGGAAGGACTTCTCCAGCATCAAATGGCTGCGCCTCTAAGTAGAGATTAGTTTGATAGGGCACAGTCTTTTAAAGACATACCGATCACAACCTGTGGCAAAATCCCAGAGATGAAGTCGATTAGCGACGTTCGACCTTACTCACACTGCCAGTGTTTGTTCATAAAACTTCGTGATGACAGAGAAGGCTCTCTACAAACGCTACAAGGCAATGGAGGTAGGCTATGGATATTACCTACAAGCTTTTGGGCTGGCAAAAAAAGATTGAAAGACTAGATTGATGTCAACACTTCAAGCAGAAGGATGGAAATGGCGCGAAGGAGTATTATGGAGAGCAAAAGAATGACAACTTGCAAGTCTACCTTTCCATTGCAGCTGAGATTACCTCTACTTGTTCTAGCTGATATCTGCGTGTAATGGCTATGCTTGCTTTCACCTTCATTCCCATAACAGTAGCCAACTCTATCATCGGCATGGTAGGACGTGCGGAATCAAGAGTCACCATGATACAGCTAACTTTTTCATGCTCAGAATATTAAACAAATGGAAAAAAACAGTTATCACATCTCAGTCTTTGCTATAGCAGCGGGCGCCTTGTTGCGTTGTCCACTGCTTGTCTGGGCAACATTCAGATTCACCTAGGATTGGCTTAAGTATTGAGCTCTTGCTAGAGCAACCTGCTCAAGACGCAAGACGATTAGGCGGGCAATATTGTCTAGGCAACATTTCGACTCTTGGGAACTAAATTTAGTGAATTATTGGATAATTACAACATTCTTGGGTTATGTGAAAGGGTCCTGCAAGCCATTTCTCTCGATGCGTTAAGCTTAGCGTTCAACATGGATGGATAATGCAAGCCTCCATCTGTCTCTAATCATAAATTTTGGTAATAATTAATCACCAATCAGATCTCTGATCCATTCACATAATTACAGTGCCATGCTAGCCGTGTTAGGGAGCCGAAATATCTTCATGAATGGGGATAGTTGTGAGACAAAACCCTCCCTTCCGTTTGGAACACTGATGGATGTTCGCAGAAACACGTAACCACACTCCGGTTGTCTAGTTCCCAGATTGAGTTTGTGAGAGGCTCGGACGAAGACCATACCGGTGCGAGATACTCTTGTTCCACCGTCCTGGCACTCTCCACGAGCTTCCATCTATCCGGATCTTCGTACGTGCAGGGAATTTTGGACCTTGACAAGACCCTATACATGCCAAGTCTGTAACGAACTTGCCGGGAATATAGCACGACTTTAATTAAGTGTAATGCGTTCCCTTAATGGGAAGTATTTCTTCGCAGCTACATCTTCGTTAATTCAGTGGCCCACTCAACGCACCACCCAAACCGTTCATCACTTTGTGTATTGCGTCGCCGACCCGTGCTACCTACTTTCCGTCTTTCACACTCGGGCTGAAAAGTGTTCGGTAGGCACTAGGGGACGGTAGCTGACTCGAACTGGAGGGCGATTCACCTTCGTTTGTGTCTAGTAGAAACGGTAGAATGCTAAGGAGCTTGCCCACTAGACGACCGCCTGCCAATACATAGACTGAAAGGCAGTTGGGCAGAGTTTATTCCTGAAACGTACAAAGATGATTAGGTGGGCTGGCGCAGTGTGCGTATGCTGTACCTGAAGTTTTCATGCTGTCTTGGCTTAGTTCTACCTACTTTACAACAAAGACTCTGCAGACTAAGCAAATATAACAACTCCTTCTTTGTCAATCTCAGCCGAGCTCGTCGAAATTGCAGATGTGGAGGGTTGTTGTATTCAACAAGTGTTGAAGCTGTAGAGCGCTTTGCCGAAAGTGGTGTGTAAGGGAATACCTGGATGCCCAACTTCCAGCCCGCACATCTGCGTGGATGCTGAATTAGATCAATGCATCCATAGCTCAGGTAAGTGACGCTCGTAGCCTTTAAATTTTCTGTATAAAATGTCTTTCGTATCTCTCATAATGGGCGCATTGTTGTTAGCTATGCTCGATAGGAGTGGCTATGCTGTAAAAAATTACTACATAGCATTCACAGAACGCTACCTTACGTGTTACCTCTCCTTGCAGACTCCTCGCTAGTGGGAGCTGCTCTAACAGGATATATACACCAAGCTACTATCTATCTCCACGAACTCCACGAACTCCACAAACAACACTCACAAGGCCAGTCAAAGAAATAGTATTGACAATATTTATATATCCTCTGCTACTTGATCACCCTTAAAACAAAACAAAAACATTGCCCAATGATTGCGCCCCTTCTCTCACCCATGCACCGTAGCACAGAGAGGCATACCATCCGAGAGGCATACCATCTTGAACCCAAACCCAAAACCCGAGCCAATAAAACCTAACCCAATTATCGAACCCACGCATTCGCCGTAACCGGCAATCAGCGATCAGCAAACTGCTTGCTGTACCCAAAAAGAACCATCCAAAAATGTGCAGTCCAGCCAGCCATCGTGCGTCTCAAACCCAGCGCCGACCCAACCCGAACTGCAAGCCAAGCAAAGGCATCACTTCCCTGCTCAGCAATCTTCCCCCTGAGTAGCCCACCCAACCAGGTGCATCACTCACTCAAACTGCCCCCCAACACCAAGTAAATCGAATCCCGCCGTTCTTTCCTCAAATCCCGCCCTCAGGAACGGTGAGAGCGGCGCCGTTTCCTCATCGCCTCCAAAAACACTCCGTACACTCGATTCATCAAACTGACTCCGCTGGTCGATCTTCATCGCGAAAAACTTCTGCTTCCGCCACCAAAAATAAACAGCCAGAACGTCCCTCGCATCTGGGATGCCTGCAAAGCGGAGCGAAGCGCGCTTGGGGCGCTTCACAGAGAGCGGAGCTGGTTGCGGTTAGCGTGAGATGAGAAAGGAGGGGAAGAGAGGCACAGGGCTTGGGTTTGGGTTGGATGACAGGACAGGGGGGTTTTGGCGGGCCGAAGTGTGGGGGTCGGGATGGGGCGGGAGACTAACTGGAACAGGCCATGGTGCTTTGCTTGGCGTGGCGTAGAGTGAGTTTCTTTTGGTAGGCGTGGCTGTGCTGGCGGGAGATTGCAGATTGAGCTGCAGTAGGAGGAGTGGTGCGCGAGGTGGCTAGGGTGGATGGGCGGGCGGCGGCGGATACTTATATCACGTCGGTGAATGCGGATGTCCCTCAGGACGGGCGCGTTGGAGCGATGAGACGATTAAGGTGGGATTCTGAACAGTCTGATGAGCAAGGCGAGGCGTCCGGCGGCGTACCGTGGTGACGAGTCAGCGAATCCAGAGATGGAGGACGACGAACCACAGGCGACCAACAGATGGCACAAGGATGTTGAGCAGCAAGCTAGCACACTTGCGTCCCCGAGTGCCTGTAATATCCCTATCCTTCCAGGCGGTCGATCCGCAAGCACACCCAGCTTAATTGATCGATATGCGCATTTGTGCTTGAGCCTCAGGTCCGAGTTGACGCGCCCTTCCTTCCACCTGCACCATTTAACAAGCCACTCAATCCTTGTCATCACCTAATCTTTTCCCCCACACGGACGCCCGGCATGCCTCCTGTGCTTGCCACCGTCGAGCATTTGTGCGACCGACTTCTTCGCCAGCAAATCAGCGCCGCGCCGTGCTCGGCTGGGCAGAAACGCGGAGTGGTCGGAACAGTGGCATCCCAGAGATAGACACGAGGGGGTTATCGCCCATCCTGAGCTGATGGGCACGCTGCGAGGCCCTGCCATCTGAGAGCTCACCTTAGTCTCTTCACCGGTTCGGTGTTTGTTGGCAGTCAGGTTTACTAATGGAGGTGAAACCATCGTGTACGTGAAACCAATTTACACACCCCCCGGCTCATGAACTTTGAAAGGATCCTGGATGCCGCTCGCCGCTCGCTGCTGGCCAGCTGTTGCGATCAGCAGGCGGGATCCTGCGTCTGCTCGTGCGTGGACGGACCTTCTGCAGCGTCAGACGCAGCTTTGGACAAGTGCTTGAAGCCCAGCCTATGGAAAATCTGCCCTGCACCACAATACCGATGGCATAGCGAGAAAATTTTCGCTGTCCCTTATCATCAACGGATGCGAGCTTGAGGTACAATCTGGTCAGCGCTAGGGCATGATACAACCTCTGCAAAGATCGGTCGGCGCGGAAGTGAATTGCTGGGCCGAGTCTAGGTTTCCAAAGAGCTCGCTTGGTCTTGCAGATCGCGATTCTGCGTTTTGTTTCCAGCTGCACTCCTGCTGCACTCCTGCTGCAGGACAGACGCCTCTTGCCTTGAGCTAAGCGCGATCGAGGCACGATATGGAATCTCTTTACCGCGGCCCTACCCTGGCACAGATTGCCATGTCATCAGTCCAGTCCCAGCGCGCTCCCAGTGTAAGCCCCAGCTGTTATTCCTTCGACTATAGCTCCCAAGGTCTACTACAGGCTAGTCACTATGCCTTTGTCCTCTGAATACAGAGCTAGCGGCGCCGAATTAGCAACGTCGTGTGCTGCCGATTCCACTGTGCGAGCTCACCAGCCACAGACGCAGGGATAAAAGCTCGAGCACCGCTGATCTATCGATTGGTATCCATGTGCTGCCACAACGTTTTGGCCGACAGCCCTCGGCGCCATTGAAGCCCCTCGGTGCCCTCGCTGCAGCCAAAGCCATCGCCCTTCCCCCGCAGAGAGAGGGCGGTTCATGCACACTACTCATCCTGCTCAGAATTAAGCTAAATATTGATCCGTCAAAGAGTTATGAGAGCAGCAACGTGTCTGCATGCCCCACATCATCTCGAAGTTGCAATCGCCGAACGCTAGCCTTGTGCAGGCATCAACTTCAGTGTGTGTGGCCCGCGGGCCAGGTCGTATCCGAGTCGCACTCACAGATGTCAGATGTCATCTTATGTCGTATTTTGTTATTTATGCAATGGGATGATGAACGTAGCCGAGCCTGGAGACGTGAAGAGAGACAAGCTGCATTCTCTTCGCACGGGCCACCTGAATTCGAGTTGTGCTTGCAGCCGCGTAGAGCTGAGTGGTGTTCGTGTGGTGAGGGAATTCCAAACTTTCATGGCTTGTCTGTGGTTGGATTGATGCGATTCCACCTGTAAGGCCTGCCTTGACGGGCGCACCAGCGACTGTCGACTTGTCGACTGTGGTCATAATCGGCGGCTTAATCACTTCAACCATGACTAATCTATAGTGAATGTGGCAAGCTTCACAATCCCGTCTCAATTCAGCAGGGTAGTGTAATCAATTGCTGCAGTCTTGTGTCAATCCCAGCATCTCCTTTCCTAATTCCCTGTCATCCTCATGTAATCTCGAAATGCGCTGCGCATTAGAGGCTTTTGCGCGTTGGCGCGGATTCGCCTTGTTCATCATCTACTGATTGATTGATTTGGCTGAGGTTGCATGGGCCAAAAACAGTTTTCCCTTTCACATGATCCGCCGCCGGAGGGATTTCCTGAGCCTTGAACGGGGGATATCACGGGGCAATTTGCTGGTGGCCGACGGCTTCGCAAGCGGGTGCTATAGCTCCGGTTTCTCTAGGTGTGATTAATGTGCTTTTCCAATTTCCTGTTCTGACCTTTGATGCGGTGTCGACTCTCGGACCTTGGTGATTCATGTCTCGTAACAACATGCCCACAATCTTTGCTGCGGTCTCGCCGCCAGGTCACGGCAGTACACTACCTTCCTTTCCGGAATCTTAGGCTTGTTTCGTCCGGCTTGGAGTGATTGTTTGACTTTGTCTCAGGATGCAACCAGCTAGCTGCGAGCATGCACCAGCTCACCAGCCACCATTCTAAGCTTCGTTCCACAAAGTAGAGATGCACAAGACGTGTGAAGAATTTTCGCTGGCTGTGCAGAGCGAAAGTAGGCTGCCGCGAATAATTAGAGAGGAGAAAATGCATAATTTCCACCATGCACTGCACAAGTATTGGTGGCTGTGGCGGTGCTGTGCACACAATTGGCTACAGAAGCACCGCCGGACGGGCTTGGCGGAACGAGTGAGGCTCAAGTCACGTTTTGAGGCATCCCTCGGGCATGGCTACGGGGAGGGTGTGCGACCACAAGTGCCGATTCCTCCACGCTGAGGTGGCAAACCCAGCGGTCAGGCTTTACGCTCGTGCCTGCGGTGCACGGTTGTGTCGTAGGCTCCTCATCTCATACTGTTTGATTCGGAGGTTGGCGGAAGCGTACGTTTAGAAATATCACATCTTATTATGCAAGACGTTTTACATGCAGAATGTGATCAATAAAGATGAGTGCATTTGTGATAGTATTTTTCTAGGCAGAATGCTTTTGTGGATGGAAGTTGGGAGTATGCAAGGAATGGTTGAATGAAGGAAAGGAAAAGTTGAGAAGTAGAACGTCGCAAACACCTAAATGATGAGAAAGAACACCAAACATGGACCGACAACGTATGCTGACACAAGACAAGAAGTGTAAGCGTAAAATCCAACCGCTCAAGGATACCATTAACCGAGATGGTGAACAGCAACACCATCATCAATCACAAAGCCAGGAATAGAAAGCCATTAGCGGAGTGGAACGTCGTCACATGAAGTCGTGAATTTCCACGACAAGTGCGATGCCAAAGAAAGACTCCAATAGGCCTGCGAGCAATGCCTCCTGAAGTGCCCGCCTCGCCGTAACCATAGCGAGAACCGTGAAACAAGAGATGATGGCGGTCGCGGAGAAAATAATCCCTTTCGTGCAGCGCATGCGACCTTTGCCGGTGTAATGGGCAGCAAAGGCCGAGAGCACAAAGGTCAGAACAGTTGCGATGACGAGGCCGACGATGGTATTGAACCGTGCACGGGAGAGGGGTTTGGGTGGCAACGTCAAGGACAATGCTGGGCTCTCAGAAACGCGACCTTCTTCGACGAGATTCAATTGGTCGTCCGGGATGGAACGGCGTTGGCGGAGATATTTCGCCTCTGTAAAAATAATTAGTGGGCTGCAGGCCATTTGGAGGAGTGCTGCTCACCATGTCTTCCATCGCGGCGGGTCACTTGATTGACGGCGGGGTGCTCATCTTCAGAGGCACTCGCGCCGCCATTTTGGTGAATCATGACCACGGGCTTCTTTGCTCGAGGTCGCCGGATCGCTCGTGGACGCTTAACTGTTCTTGCCGGGCCTTTGAGCGTGCGAGCGGCTCTGGGTCCATCCACGAACTGGCCGCCAACGCCGAAGAGGAAATTGTCTTGAATTGCCTCAAGCTCAGTGTCGGATCCAGAGCCATGAGAAGCGGAGAGAGACGATGCATACTCCTTTACTGGTTGGTCTTTCCCGTTCACAAGGTAGCTTGTGCCAGCTGATGTAGGTTTGGTGCCGCTTGACTCCTTGTGGGAGCTGAACACTGTAGTGGTGGCAGGAGCGGTGGACGAGGAAGCAACGGTGAGAGGAGAGTTAACACGGTGGAGGTAGACGATTTCATTAATGCCCAGAACACCGCCCGCCCGCAGACGGCGCGTCATGGAATCATCGTTCCTAGTGTTACCCAGCAAGGTAGAGGGAGAAGAAGACTCGGGGGTCTCGTTCAACGCGCCCTCGACGGGGACGGGGAGGGTGGCTACATGAGACGAAGGTCAACTCCGCTTCGCTGGACAGGACTAAAGAGCATACTCTCAGCCATATTGGTCGTGTGAGTTTGGCTTCTTTTCTATTAGAAAGACGCCGGCTGGCGTACATTCACACACTTCGACAGCGAGGAAGGATAGTGCTGCGAGTTGGTTTGATGAGTGCGCCAGAGTAGTGAGCGGCGAGAGCAGAGACAGCGAAGTCCAAGAGTGCCAAGTGTGTGAGCAGTATAAGCAGCTCAAGTGCGAAGAGGGAAGAGGAAGCTTCGGAAGATGTGTGCGTGTGCGTTGGGAGGGAGGCGGCCGGCTCAAGTACTTGTAGGGAATGGGGGCACTCACTCGGCGTGCGAGCGTGGGAGGGAAGCATGCTCTTCCACGCACCAATCGCGGCCAACCAGGGAAATGCCAAGCAACGGCGGAGGCTGTTCTGGAGAGTGAAATGTCCATAGTCGTCATCATCGAACCACCTGCGGTCTGGCCTCCTTGTGAAGGGCGCCTTTGGAGTTTTGTCGACAGTGGCAGCAACGTAGAGACTGATGTCACAGGCTCTCAGTCGCAGCTGAGGTGCGGCAACGAAAATCGCGACAGCAGAACACAGGTCAGTGGGAAATACCTTGGGGGACTGGAACTCCACGCTTCGAGCAGAAAGAAGGGTCCAACAGACCCTCATGCTGGATCCTCATGCTGTACCATCCGTCAAAAGGTGAGGGCAGAGCGGCCAGAGAAGCGTTCAGATCGATCGAATTGCAAGGAATTGGGTCCATCAAAGAATCAAGCTTCTTCGAGAACCCCAGTGCAAAGCCCCTGTCCGACGCACGACGATCTGTCCTGTTGCGCCGTCCATGCTGGCCCGCTGCCATTCGCGCAGGCTTGGACGAATCAAAGACAAGCCAAGCAGCCCTTCGGGGCCGCAGGCGCAGGGACTCGGAGCACAAGGGTGTCGCTGTACTGGCAGCCCATCCGCGCCTAGTCAGCGATGCGTTGGAGCGTGGTGTGGGTGCTGCCTCCACATTGGCAAACTATGAAGGGCCGCAACCCGATTGCAGGCCAGCGCTTACAGAAGGAGGCTTGATTGGAAGTTGTGGCCATCCGGACTTAGTCAATGGTGGCAACGAATGTCAGCCTGGCTGGGCGCACGAGGCGGACGTCAGATGTGGCAGCCAATGGGCTGAGGGGGGGGCATCTTGGCACGCCTGCGGAAACAGCAAGCGGAGTTTAAAACCATGCTAATCGTATCTCCGCGTACCTTCAAATAATCAAGGGCATCTCAGAAAGATGGGACTTTTAATAAGCAGAATATAGCGGGCTGGAGTGTTTGCAGGCTTGGACCTATGGAGTTTATCTAGCATCTTAACCGTGCCTTCGATTTACTGGCCTAGCTCCTTGGATTTTGGCCTTGGCGATTGGTGGCACCAAGGCTATAAGAAGCCGTTGTGGCCTCACGGTCGCCTCCATAACTCTACAGTGATTCATTGGACAAGCCCTGCGGGTTGCTAGAGCTCAAGCGTGTAGAGCTAGGTTCCAAAATAGTCGTATGCATCTTCGTTTGGCAGTCCCCGAAAACTAAGAAGGCTCTCAGAAGAATAGGCGGCTTAGCTGACGAATGCAAATATATCTATGGCTTCGAAAGCTTATTTGGATTCACATACTCTATTTCCATAACTAATTCTACGCACTCCAGGCTTATGATCTCTCTAGAACATACCACACCTGTATCTCCCCCTCCCTAATCTCCCTAACCCTCAACCCTACACTCTCCACCGCTCGCTCCCAACCCTGTTTATCAAACATCTTCAAATTCCAATGCAGCACATGTCTCCTCGGCATCTTTCCCTCGCCACCCTCAACATCCAATTGAAACGCTTCAGTTTTGACGTACCCCTTCAAGCTCTCCGTACTCGGATATTTGACATACACTTCTCCAAGCCTGTCAACCGACGGTATCCTATTCAGCTTGCCTAGCTAATGTAGACTCGAGGATTCAAGATTCTAAAGCGTGCCTTTGTCCGCTTCGTTCGGCATGAAACCTGGCAGAATGCTAATTATTGCTCGGCCCCTTGGATTAAGAACTGAGTTGACGTTGGCGAGGAAGCAATATAGTTCTGAGTCCGTCGTGACATGACAGATGCCGCCCACAGCGAAGACTATCAGATCGGCGCTTGATGATTGCTCGAGTACTTCCTGCGCAAATGATACAACGCCGCACTGGATCCAGTGTACTTGTACTTTTTCTTCATTTCAAACTTTTTCTTCATTTCAAACTCCCTCGATCTTTTGCTTCTCAACTCCTTCGTTCCAGAACCGCTTCGCGCGTTCGAGCATAGGCGCGCCAGGCTCCGTACCCCAGATTTCAAACTTGCACCCGGTCTTTCTCATGAACTCTCCCTGACCCCGTTCCTATGTCCACTATCGTCATTGGGGTTGAACCTTCGTCTTCCACATCCAATCGGCAATGTTGTATTTCTTTGAGAATGCCTTCGAAAACAGGGATATCTTCGACTGGCCCATCGCCGAAAAGCATTGTGACCCAGAGATCGTAGCATTCCGCCCAATTAGGATTGTGATACGTTGCCATGGTGGCGTTGACCGAGGTATCTGAATTTCTAAGGCTTAGAAGAGCGGTCGGTGTAGGTGTTGACGATTGCATAAACACGGAAGGCCTTGCGCGACACGTAGAGTTGAAACGCGCGTTCTCCCTCTTCTTATAGCCGCTCTCGGGCTGTGGTCGCACAACTGATAGTTGGTCGTTGTCGTTGTCGTTGAGGATCCTATGGGTAAGTGCGATGGGGGACAAGAAGGGCTGAGATTCTGGGCTGAACGAGGTGCAGCGGTTTGCTCGGTTTGGTATTTCCATGCGGGGTTTCGACCACTCGAATCAGTTCTTGAGGAGGAGATGCGTTTGACTCATTTTCAGTCTTGCAAGATGTCGCTGATCGTCAGAGGCGTTGATTAGATCTCAAGCGCCTCGTTTGGGGCCTCGCTTCAGAAAGTGATTCCATATTTCTCGGTGGTGCTGCATACTTCACGACATCGTGCAATGTTTATCTCGAAGTTAAAGTCTTGGGACCTCAATGAAACCGATAGAGGTGTATCAAGGCACAGAGAATATCCAGGAGAGGACGCGATGACGGGGAAATCTTCCTCTTATCTTTCCTGCCTCCTACTTCGGCCCCAACTTCGGCCCCGAACCCCACCAATAGATGCCGAGCCACACGAGGAGTGCGGCTGAACGGCTAAACGGCGATGTTATCTCTCTCCAATCCACTCCCTCGGTCCGATCCTCTCCACGTTTCCTTCCAGCAATTTCCTGGTAGCAGTTCGGACCGCTCGGAAGCAGTCGTTCGGAGTGCAAGGACATGGAGCCAGGAATGACGACACGCGAAAAGTGAATCCTGCTAAACGAAGAGATGGGGAAACTTGCAGGACAGGAAAAGGAAACTAGAAGACCAGAATCCAAGCTCTCAACAACACATGAGATAAATGTGGAGGCTCCCGCCAAAAATGAGGGAAGGTCTTCGAAAGCGTCTCATAGTTACTCCCCGGACCCAAGGGTTAAGCCTCCATCCCAAATTCCTCCGTCAAAGACCCCTGGGGAAAATGAAGGCAGAACGAATGAGGCCCCTATCACGTGATCAACGAAGGCAGAGAAGAAAGCACAGCAAGCGACTTACGGTGTTGGATTCAAGAAAGCAGAAAGGGGTAGAAGGAAAGGGGCTAGGGACTTCCGTGCGACAGGCTGTAGTAAAAAAGGCGAAGACCAGAAAGGTGGTAATAGAAAAATTAGTCAAGGGAAGGAAACAAACCTTGGAGCTGGAGGGAGGAAACCTCAGAACCTCCGCAGATCCAAATCTCAAGAATCGCTTACAGGATCCTCGAAGTACTTTCTCTTTCCTAACCACAGGGGAAAAAGGAACGCAGGTCCTCAATCCCACGCTGTAAATTCGATCAAAGATCTCCTTCCTCAATGTCCAAAGGGACGGAAACAGTATGTTCCACGTACACAGCCTTTCTAAACGCTGATTAACAATACTCAAGCGCTATAAGGAGCAACTCATCGGCAGCCATGCAACGAAAAGCCTAGATCGCGGTTCTCAATGCCAGCGTCGAGAAATCCCTGCAGCACAGTACTCTCAACGTTATTTGAGGAAGTTCGCAAATTAAGAATGGGCACAGCTTCCTCGGGGACGAAAACGATAGTGCTCCATGGAAAACTGATAAAAATGGCCAGGGTACGCATGTTACAGGCTCTCTGTTGGGGGTTGCTCCAAGTTCAGAGATATATGTAATATATGTAGCGAGGATCATGACAAGACGTGTTGGTATTTGCCGCAGCATTGAATCATGGGGCATCTATACCCACTAATAGAACCTGGCCAGCTTGTTCGTTCATGGTACTCTCTGCTTTCACTGTGATAGGAAGGGGGGAGGGGGCTTCGAGCTTCATCCCTCTAGCTCAGCGAGGCCTGAACTTTGCTACCCTAGTCGAAGACGCGGAACGAGTTTGGCTACTTCCTCTGCTATCAGAGAAGAGAGAGGGAGAAAGATGCAGTACCATACGGAAATCAGGGGCTAGTTTCACCACGAGTACCGATCAATGCTGTTCAATGCTGTTAAAATAGGTCGGGGGGCAAGCAAAGAAGGAGGTATCAAAGACCATGACGATGCAACGGACTATCTTTCAAGAGAGGCATGGTGAAACACGAGATACTGCACGTGGCTGGCAAGTATGTGCAGATATTCTAGTGTCCAAGGTAGAATGTGCTTGAAATCGGCTGAGCTCCTCACACCAGCCTCCTGGTATGCTCAACGCTCAATGTCAACTATAAGCACCAGAGTAGCTAAGCGAAGCGCTCTGTAGACAAGCTCCGTGTTCCAGCCTGAGAGGCCTTCTTTGACAGTTTCGACATGATAAAGAGCAGCTCGAGCGCTGTTATGTGCAAGGCTGGGTGGTATCCGAGGGCCGAGAGACAAATGAATGTGTGATTTGCAATACTGGAGCAGCTGGAGAATCTAAACATAGAGTTAGGGCTAGTCTTAGGACTGTACCATCCTTGGAAATGCCTCCAGGCGGTGAAGCCGAGACATTGGAAGTGGTTGGGTTGTTTAAGGCGCCCTGCACAGACCATTCGAAACATGGTAGTTAGCACACTTTTGCTACATCATAATGTTGAAGCTCAATATTGTCCCCTGGGCTAGCCCAAAGGTTGCTTGGACTCAGTCAAACTCCACGTCTCTTCAATTCTCCGGTTTCAGGGCGTCCAATCACATCTAATGGATGGATGACCTGTCGTCCGATTTCGGGGACTCATTATTGTCCGCCCGCTACCGATGGCATGGGTGTTGATTTCGAGTCCTCACCGGTCTTTGGAAGGCCCGTGCCATCCCCTCTTTCATCGGCGCTTTCGACAGAGATTGGAGGAAGTGATGTAAGAATAGAGGACGACAGAGGCGACTGAGGAGGCGGAAGATAGCTTGGAGTTGCTGTCAATAGTACTGGAAAATCCTGCACGTCTTTGCCAATCTCTCCACACCTGGCGACTCTGGAACGGAACCATCAGCCCTCAGGCTTCGCTTGTGCTTTCCGGGGCGCCGACATCCAACTCGCAGGCTCCCCCGCATGTTACACATTCTGGAGATATCGCGTCAACGTACAAGGCTGCAGTTATGTTCTGCAGGTTGGATTCCAGAATGTGTTCTGGATCAATTGGAATTCTTGCACAGAGACGTACACCGCAAGAATGCGGGTGATTCATAACGAACCACGTGAAGATGCTTGTGGCTGCGCCAAGTCGGCGGTTGGCATTGCCTTGATTTCTTTTTCCCACCGTGATCTCCGAGTCGGGGGCACATGCCTCTCATTCAGGTTTCTCAAAGGCATAGCCAAAAATCATTAGAGAGCTCTGTCGTCCATACGTAGCCAGATTGCATTAATAGACAGGCTTTGACCAAACACTCGGGAGAGACGGCCGTGAATATGCTTCGTGGTGGAAGACCTGACTCTTTGCAGAAAAAGCAGAAGTATGTGGCAAAGTCCACAATTCGCATCAAATGCAAATAGCACACCGGTCTTGGTTCTTGAAAATTGCAAGCCGATGGTGCCAACAAAAAGATATATTCTTTTTGGACACCATTGGTCAGGGAAGGCGTGCTGTATCCAGAAGAGTCGGGGGTCTGAAGAAGCGGTGAGCGTCGTCCTTCGTGTTGGGTCAACATTCGAGAAGCCTGATCAGAAGAGCCTCATTGCTGGTATCTGGATCGTCTAATCTGTCCTGCAAGCTCCCTCAGAAACGGCCTAGGTGCCTGCATTGGAAAGCAGTACTGGGAATATTGCGTACAGCGGCGTACCGTGAGGGGGCATTACGGAGATCTGGTACGCGAAATGGTGTGGAGTCGTAGCCCCTGAGAGTTGCGTCTAAACCGAGGGAATCCATAGTGGCATCTACCACAATATCTAAGACATGGTTATTGGCGAACGCTGATCGGCAACTCGAGCTGCTGCTAGGGGTTGATTGTATTCCTCGAGCCGGCTCTAGATGCTCGGAAGTGTATCCGGGAATTTTGAGTGATAATTACTCCGAGGCCGTGCTCACGATAGGTCAGTGTTAGAGCCCGCGGAGGGCACTGGTGATTCGAGGCCTAGCTCTAGTATCAGGGGCTTTGGTCTCAGTTTGATCCGAGCTGTGTCGTGCCACACGCACACGGGTGATGTCTATTGGGTGAAGCGATTCAACGTGGTCGTGGAGGGTGCAAAGGACCTGTGACGAGTGTTGGGGCTCCTGGTTGCCGGACACTGGCCGCATTGAGTATATATCTTGTGCAACCCGAGTTGATTGCCTCGACACCACTACCGAAGTACTCTGACATAATCCATCCTACGGTATTCCTATCATGGCTTCTCAAGGTAAGGCAATAGTCGTACTATATGACGTTGTCAGCTAGATAGTACACAAGTACTCATACCAACTAGACCAGCGCCACCCCGACCAGTCTAAAGGAGGTATACCTGGAGTGCCTCGCGATAATGATGGGTTCACGATGTACTTGCGAGATGCACGCAGTGTAGACGACGTTGCGGCCGACGTACAGGAGCAGTGGAGCAGCTTACCGCCTAATCCGACAACCGTGAGGTACCCCTCGGAGGGCATTTTGGTACAGTCTAGTATGTCAATGGTTCTGTATTCTTTCAACTCCTAATGGTCATACCAGGGGCTCCGGTTTCCACGTCATCGCTGCGAGCTACCGTAGGCTCAACCTCCAACGCTCCATCCACCCCGCTTGATGTTCCTCCATACGCCAACGGTTGTCACAATGCCATAGATGGTAGGGACGAGGATCGTTCCCATATAGGAGCTTGGTGTGCTGATAAGGAGAGAAATGAAAAAGAGCATGGGAGCACAGCTAACGGGGAATAATGAATATGGGGAGGGGTTAAGGGGCTGAAAGAAGGCGAGAGTGATTTTGGCGTATACCTTCTATTTCTGTTATAATCCGAATGAGCCCAAGCTTGCCGGAGGTGGAAGGAGGATGTTGTGAGAAGGCCAATATTTGCCACTCTTGAAGTCTGATCCCATCTCGAGATTTCGCGTTCGTGCCTTTCGAAACAATATAATTTCCTTTAATCTTTATATATCGTCGGTGTTCGACGTATGCATGGTATTACTTTGCGTCGTGGCTAGGTATCATTGGGCCTAGAGTATGTAATTGGGACCGATCATAAACAATTTCTCAGGTTCTGAGCCGACACAAAAATGAGGTGCAATAGCGGTCCGCTGCACAGTTATCTATCTTGTCTTCTCTGATTCCTCTGCTTCCTTTTGGCATTTGTTTTCTAGGTTTGCAGCCAATCAGGGTATCCCGAGGGGCAGCCCTAGGAAGAACGTTACAGGAGTGGCTGGATCGTCGGGAGCAACAGCAACAGATTGCTTCTCTTTCTCGGGGTCATCCATGCGTGGGGGCAGTTGAGTGGGTGAAGGCTGTGGAGGTATGGGTGGAATTGTTGTGGAGAAGATCTAGAGGGACAAGGCTGAATGTTGAGATAGGCTTTGCCGGCAGACGCACAGAAGCGGCATGGCGTGGTCTCATTTGGAAGGCACGTTCTCACCCCACTTAGTCATCGGTCGAAAGGGATAAGTTACTCATGGATGCGCAGGATCGACTTCTTTGGACTAAATATTTGGTCCCGTCCCATCCCACTTTTAGGACTCTTCATGCATACTGCCTAGTCTAATTCCCCATCCAGCCTCTACCCACCCACTTTACAGGTCTCCCTTCACTTTCGGCTTCATTTCTATGACGCCTCTTGTACTTCGATTTTCTCTTCTGTCCTCCTATCTACCGGACGAGAAACGACTGGGAACCGAAGATAGGGATGAAAAAGCGAACTACATATCCCTCCCCTTGCTTAGCTATAGTTCCTTTCCAGCAGACAACTCCACAATCTCCAAAAGCCCAAGAAGTCGTTCCGTACTCTGATCCAAGATTATTTTTGCCTGCTCTTCTTCTTGTGTATTCCCTTTCTTGCGGCTCGCATTACCATAAGCCTTCTCACGCGCTTCAATACCACTCTCCACTGCGCTCCTCAGGTCATCGGTGGCATTAAGCCTCTTTGCACTCATAAAGTACATGACCATCTGCTCGAAGATAAGTGAGATTTTGGCATTGGCAGCATACCTGTGAGTTGTTGCACGGGAGGGCAAGAAATATTCTTCAAGGTGTTCTTGTGTTGGCTCCATCACAGTGTAGTCGGGGAGTGCGCCAGAAAGGAGAGGAAATAATAGGTTGGAATTCAGACCCATTTGAACCTGCAACGGTATTTGTGAGGTCGAGAGAAGGACACTGAATATATTAGTTGGCAGCTGAAGATATGCTTCCGTAAATTGGTCGAAGAGATCGCCGAGGGTGGTGAAGTTATCAGGGATATATTGTGCAACTTGCACGAGCTGTGTGAATCATCAGCATCAGGAGGCCAAAAGGGATTAGTGAAACCAACTAGAGCAAGGAGGCGTTGGCGAAGTATTATCGCATCCATACCACCCAGTCGGCCGATAGCCTCTTCTGATGAGCAGATGAGGAACTCGTCATCACTTTTAGGCGGCGACGACTCAGGTGAGCCTGTTGAACATCTTAGGGCGACCTTTGATTGGCCGTGCATGGCTACATCCTCATCGACCTTCTCATAGTCGCCAAAGTCGCCGTTCTCGATGTCTATTTTAGCCAGGGCGTTGCCCTCCTCCTCTTCCATCTCAGGTTCCGCTGTTTCTTCTTCCCAAATTTCTGGAAACAGTTTCCTCGAATGCAGGCTCCCCATTGAAAGTATAGCTCCCACCATTACACGTCTATTCGATCTGATGGCAGCATCCCTGCTTGAGACGTAGTGCCACAGGAGGCTCTTCGTCAAGATCTTGTGTGCATCACCTCCCTCTTCCAGGATCAGCTTGACGCGCTCCGCCCACTCAGCCTCCAGGAAATCCAGCATGACTTCAAGCCACAGCTTCCACCTCTCCCACCGCTTCTTGTGTACCACAGAACAGTTGAATGCCCATCCTACGATGTGCCAGAAGTCGGTCGCTCGCATCCAGAGTGATTGTGAGGTTGCTGCGAGACCTTTGAGGCGTTTGCTTTCGTCCACCTCTGGAGATGGACTCAGCCCCAAAGTCCGATATCCAGCTGCACGTTTCCTTGATCGCTCATCTGGAAACGCGAAAGCGCCCCTAAGAGTCTCGTTGATGGGGTTAACAATGTTTTGAACGTTTCGGAGGTACCGCAGCGCTGCATCCGCTCCCTTCACCGTGTCGGCCGACTTCGCTTTCGTAGTTATACCCGGATAGACAATAAGAGAAGACGCGAGGGCAAGTTGCGATGTGGGTGCGAGAAACGCGGAGTAGGATCGGTTGGGCGTGGAGATGGAGGTACCGGATATGAGGAGGGCATTGAGGAAGGAGAATCCGCCAGCATCTAAAAGCGCCTGTAAGCAAGGGCCATTATGATTCTAGCCAATGATCGTACACTGCCGCATTTCGAAGTACGCTTTGGAGTGATTCGCGAGCTCATAAGTCAGTGGTCGGGTGGGGCGATACAGTGATTCCCTTGGGAGCCCGACCATAGCATCGAAGGCGGCAGAAGCTGAGCCCAATCCACTGGTTGTTGGTGAATGTATTGAATCCGGCGGTGTCGCTCCCTGGCCGGGTATGGGAAGGGCAGGTGAAGCCATGGCGGAGAAGAGTGTGGAGTGTGTAGGTGGAGTGGAAGAGGGCGGAATTCGGGTTGCGCGCTGGGAGTGTCGCGTAATCACATGAAAGCCGTACTAGTCCCCTTTTAGAATAGATACATGTCCGAATACCACAAATTCGACAGTGAGAAGATAACGCAGAAACATCTGGCCATTTTTGCTTTTCGGCCTGCCTTTAAAGAGAGGTAGCTAGACACGAACAGAAAAAGCCTACATCCTACTGGCACGTGCGTTGATTCTAGGAAAGGGACGGAGACATCGAATGCTTCACGTATGCTTGGGTGCCGTAGGTGCACGAACATTTACGAGTACACTCAAAAGAAAGTTAATACGCATGCTCGCAAACCTCTAAGCGGGGATGTTTTAACACATTAGCAACTTCATCTTCTGACGCTGCTATTCGAGGTCCAAAGGGATGTTTTCGCCTTGATATGCTTTATCTGTGTAGGCCTAGCGTCGATGTTCTAGGAGACTGAAAAGCTGTAGTAAAAATTATACTATCTTCTCCTGAATTCACTAATACTGTCTGAGAGAGTCTAGGGCCCAGGTGTTACAAGGGAAACAACACCATGAAAAAAATTAAAAAAAGATGTTCCGTCACCGGGAGTCGAACCCTACATATCTATTAATACTAACGTTGTGTAGGAGAATTAATTAGGCACTAACCGGCTCTCGTCGGAGGCTGACATTAACCTGTGGGCTTTATGAAAGCGACGGATGCTAACCGATACACCATGACGGATGATTATTGACAAAGTCTGAAACTAAATATGTTATATCTCCTAGAATTCATAGTGCATCAAAACGCCCTTCAAATTGCGCCCTCCAACCAGAGCCGTGCATCACAAAGAACGGTGTGCCGAGTGAGCGGGAGCGGGGCAATACCCCAGAGAGGACGCTAGGAGCGATCAACGCCAAGGAAATTGCTACCCTAGACTTCAATAGTTGAAGAAACCCCTCGAACGATTTTCAGCGGTAATAAACTACTCCGACTTCGTAACAAGACACATTTGGTTGGATTCCATCTAAAGGCATTCTCGAAGAGACCTCGAAAGAGACGAGCGCATAATCCTGGTCCACCTAGGGAACCCGAGAGGCGGCCTTGGCGGTCGAGGAGGTGTCCCTGGCATCGATATCTTCAAACCGTCTCGTCCTATCCCATAGAGTCCTCATCAAACATCCCCAGCGGAGTCGTGGGATTGTTCTAGTATTATTTCCCAAGCCGTTTCTAGTTTCGTTACATATGATGTCCAAGGTCGCGTTCAATCCGCTTTAAATATCGCAGTCCCACGGCCTTGACTAAGAGGATATCAGGGAAAGCCGCTGTTATATGCTACTCCGCGTAGCCTCAAACCTTTTACCAACTCCCGTATGGTCAAAGCTTGATGAAAACCAGCTTGTGCCTAAACGATTTGCGCTCTTTGCGGTTGCAAATCTTCGAACTTGTTTGCACGGCAGTCTACGTCCCTCAAATGCTTGATCACTGTGCTAGAACACATTTCATCCCCAATAGATCATTGAAGTTGTCATGATTCGTGGGTCTAGCGCACGAGAATCATGTCTCAAATCAATGTGTTAGATGTTCAGAACTACAAGAGAGTGGGAGAGATGGTATTTCGACACTCTCTTTTCAGTGGGAAGGCGGTATATTTCGTTTCTCTGATCACTGGAGCTGGGGTGTGAGTGGCGATGGGCATTAACGTTGGAGTCTGTCAGTTAGCGCTATCGCGTGTTGGCCGTTGACCTCAGCCATTCACCGCAGCGAAGGAACACCGCTCTCAGACCCAAACAGGCAGTGATCGCATTCCCCACACTCACGCCACCCACCCTCATTGCAGTCCCCATCTCTATGAACATACTCCCACATTCACAATGCCAGCTTTAAGAAAATCTACTGCTGGCTCTACGCTAGCTCCTCACGATTACAGTACGTCGTTTTAACAATGTCAAAAATTCGTCCGCCTTCTGCGCTATTTTGTGATAGATAAGACTGAACTTAAGAAGCCTATGCTAAAGTGGCATTTGGCTTCCCCTCGGACCCCTCCTGTCTAGGATCTCGGTTCAATCAGGGCTCTGAACCTCACTGTCGACTCAGATATGATCATCATTGAACTTATAGAGCACGGTTTCGACTTCACAATAAATAAAAATAACGTTTTACAGTGAGTGCGCAGTGATGTTCCACGCGACCTTAGACGTCTATTCCGGATATGTCGTGCCAGAGAATTAGGACCAATGGAGCACCCCTGACATACCATTCTCTCCCATCTACAGTGAAGAGTATGTCAGGATTGTTTGACTGAAAGAGGTCGCTCGTCCCGAGCAAGCGAAGAAAATCTACGCGATTGGTAATGAAAACAAAAATGAGAGGTCAGAATGTCCGCCTCGCCAGCCTCTCCGGCTGGCTAGCTGGAATTACACACACACCCGGCCACGAACCCAAAAGGAACCCCTTCGTCCGGCATGCGAGCAAAATTGAGCCCTAGTTCTTGCGTCAAAGTACCACCAAGTGGGAGCCATCAATATCTGCCCTGAATAGGGTCAAGGAGTCGAGCCATACACATTCTCCCCTCCATGAAGAATCATTTACCCATGAATTATGGCAAGAGATAACCGAGGAACCATACCGAGAATACAAGCAAACAGACCAAGAAAGGGAGGCAAGAATAAAGGACAAGTAGGAAGCTCATCATGACGATCTCAGCTATAAGTATAGGGAAATCCTCGTCAATGAACACACACGAACCCATCGACATCATTCAAGAATAGCTCGGCTCCAGATGGCCATTGCTGGGCTTCGATAAAGACTTGACGAACCCGACAAATTAAGTATAAGTGCGAGGAAAGAAATTTGAATTGCTCAAGGAAGCTAGTGAAGTGCAGCAATTTTCAAAAGGGGACCTTACGCAGTACCGTTAGAAGACCGCGCTAATCTCAACGTACCCCAGACTACGTTGTCACGATGCAACACCGATGCTACAACTCAGTTATGGAAAATATTCCCGAATGGAAACCAATAACGTTCTTAGAAGCTGGAATCCACCTTGCAGTCTTCAAGAGAACGTTACACCCATTTCCGTACGGCATACGCTTCAAAGCAAACTGTTCAAATTCCTCTCCCAGGCATATAACTACCCAGCGTGGTCAATAGGCCGTACTACTGGCAGTACTGAGTACCAGGGCTTCCAACGGGCCGTACTACGGTCCGTACAAAGTGAACTGTAACGGTCACGTGTTCAGTACGAGCATACCGAGTTTGTGAGCCGTACCGTACGTTTAATGATGCCCTCAGTACAGCACGTAGTACAGATTGTATTACCATTTTAAGAAGTTTATAAAGGGGTTCTAAAGGGGTAGAAGGGCTCTAGCAAGCAGGAGGCCTGCAGAGAGCTTTTAGAGGGGCTTCTAGGGCTCTAATTAGCTAAAAGTTTTATAAGAACGCTTAAATCTCTTTCTAAGAGTTTTAATCTATCTATCTCTAGTCTGTTGTCTTAAAAATACCTATTATAGACTATTTTCTATTGCAGAGTTATCTATCTACGCCTTTTGCCGCCTTATAGGCCTTATCTAGTTAACTAGATCCCTTCATTATTGGTCTTATAAGTTGCAGAAGTTAAAGGCCCTCTACACTGCGTCTCTTGCTTTATCCTGTAATAGTACACTATTTGTAGCTAAAGATTAATCACAGCAGTTTCTAAAAGACTGCAATTACGTTGCGAGGCAATTTTACACTGTTAAAGGTGTAGGCTTATAGCGCAGATATAACGCTTCTAGAGGAGTAGGGTAGGGTAATTTTCCTCTAGCTCTATTAATAGTGTTATAAGTAGACCTATCTACTCTTATTACTAAGAAAAACTAGTTATTTTATAGTTAATTAGACCTTAATCTTGCGTCTCTAGAGACTTATAGTCTCAGCTGTTTTAACTAGAGTACAGTGTACTTTAATTAAATTGTACTACTTGTACAGATTACGTGAGCTGTAACAGTTGCAATACTTACACCTACCTCTCCTCCTCCTGTCGTACGAACGTACACAAAATCTCACCCGTACAGGCCTCAAAATCGCCCAATCGTACAGTACTACGCCTCGTTGGGAGCCCTGCTGAGTACGGTGTACGGTTGGTTTGGGCCGTACGAACGTACAGCGATCTTCTGTCCGTGCGTACGATAGCTGTTGCCCTGAGTGCTGTCCGTAATACAGCGTACAGTTACCTTTTAGGTGTTTTGGAGAGCCCTTGCCGGAGTAGCTACCCTGATGGGCCGATTCAGCTGCTCATATGAGACGTTTTCTGCCTATCTAGATAGTATAGCCCATCAGAATCAGAATAATGCCTATTAAGTGAGGAGCAAGCTCCTGGCTCTTGCTGCTCACGTTACTAGGGAAAATAGTCTTACAGGGAGCTGTCAGGCCCTTGACTCTGCCTCTTCTATAGTATAGCGTATTAATCATTACGACGTACATCAATCGTACAGTACTACCCGTACAGCTCACTTCAAACGGTGCGGTTACTGTTCGTACAGTTGCTTCCCCTCATTACGACCGTACGTACGTACAGGAAATCTCGTCCGTACAGGCCTCAAAATTTCCTAATCGTACAGTACTACGGACTGTTGGGCACGCTGTAACTACCCTCGATTTTCCATCCTAATCCTATTTCTCCACAGCAAAACCCAACCTCTCCCTCCAACGCTCATCTACCCGCCCCTCGAGACCGCATACGGCAATGTATTTACAGTCTCTCACCCTTCTTATACTCTGTGTTCCTCTCCTTACCACTGGCGCTCCAAATCCAAACCATATCGCCCCTCCATCTACTATGATGGAAATTACCTACCCAGCGTGTTTGAATGCATGCGCCGGGGAAATATGCTTCTCTAGCTAAGCCATGGAGGAGTGGTGAGCCAATGCTTCTATAGTTTTAGAGATCTAGGGAATTTCATTGCTGACTTGTCGATGGCATTGTTTCCCATATGAGCAAATCGGGTTAAGGCGTGGGATGTAGAGACCCTGCGGAGTATTTAATGATTATACGTTTGAGTGTGAAGAAGTCGATATTGATCAAAGAGAGAGAGATCTAAGCCAAATGGGCACGTAAAAGCAAGGAGCTTTCAGGAAGGAAATTTAGACGGAACCAGTGCCCTTAATTCCGTAGTATTTCTTACCGAAGGGAGTTGCAAAGAGGAGCATGAAGCAGAAGAGCGGATAAGAAGTACACGTAAACTGACCCTTCATAATATAAATAGCGTCTTGGCGCCGCTAAGGGCTTTGCCCCGCCTCGCCACCGCGGCATCCTCTGCAACAAATATCCAACATTTCGAACTTGAGCACTGGATTTCGCCTTCACTAACCAAGGCCGCCCGCCCAAGGAAACATAGAAAGTATTGTTGTCACTGGCTATGGACGAGACCCTCCCCGATTGCGATGCTATAACAGTGCCAGTTCCCTCTGTCAGCATCACCACAGAGGACCGATTTATCGCACTGTCTAAAACAGACATTACCCACATTGTTATTCAGTAGGCAGGCTTCCAGGTTATTTCAAGTAGGGTCCCTCGCTAAGCTCTCTATAAGGTTGACTGATAGAAGACTTGATTCAATCATGGAGTCAGTTGGGGTGCAGTATGAATTCAATAAACCCTGGCCATTCTGGTTCTTTATCGGCAAGATTGTATCAAAAGCATTCTTCAACAATGATCAGCAATTAGAATGGCTCAACACTGTTCGAATAAGAACTAGGGAGTTTATTGCATTTACAAATGCTGGTAGGAAGGAAACAGACAGCAACCAGAAGCTTCAAGTTATTGAGGTTGATTTTGCAAAGCCTCAGCCAGGTAAAGAGCTTGAGCTTTTTTGGAAGCCAGCGCGAGGACTTATAAGTCAGAAGGTCCAGGAATGTAAGTAGATAATAAAGATATATTTGGTTCCATGATACCCCTTCTATATTGCTATATTTATCACTAATTCTTCTATTCTAAATAGGGCTAGATTTATCAACAAGCTCTAGTAGCTTGGAGCAGAGGGATCAAGAACAATATAAGGCCCAATAGGTGAACAGCAGTTAATGGAAAGGCAAAGTCAATTGAAAAACGCAATAGGGAAGACGTATACGGATGGGTTTGATTGATTGATTAATTTATTCAGTTAGACTACATCCAAGCCACTGGCCTACTGTATGCAGTATCTGTAGATGGGTTAAATATCAGGGTGGAAAGCGCTGGCAATATTGAAAGGGTCTTTTCTTCTTCATAGATCTCTATGTTGGCGTTGAAGGGAAGTGCTTTGAAGGCCTTTTTATTGGTTGTGACCTGTTCTAAATCACAGTTGTTGATCATTTGCGGAGTTTGTGTGACTTGAGCTCGGAGGCCCCTTCGCCCCATTGATTACAAGTCACGAAATATGCACCTTGCTCAGGGCCTGTGAGATACTTCCAGCTATCGAAGCCGCCCCTGGATTTTCAGATTTCAGAAGGGTTGGATCCGTCAAAGAATCATCCGGGGACGAGTACGATGACATGCCTTCACCTGTTTGTCACATCTGCGCAAGCGCCAATCACCTGACCCCATAGCGCTCGAAATTCAACTTCACTTTATCTTCATCTTCATCTGAGCCCAGTCCCGTCGCAACTGTCCCCGGATCGCATACAGCTCCTGATTTTCGCGGCTTTGCTACACTTCAGCGCAATCTTCCAACCCGCAAGGATTGTTTTGATAGCTCACGCACGCGTTCTATTGCATCTCATATCATTCACCTCAGCAATAGAACGCTTTCGCTCACTTATGTAATGGCTAGCAAATCTCTTTTCACTAGCTATGTACCGGAAGCTGCCTTTTGGCTCCAAGTGGAGTAATGCGCTTTCAGGCCCCAGATGCCCCCCGCGACAAGACAGGTTTGCCCGACGCTGACGACTTTTGGAAGCCTGCTGAGTCGTTTGTCCCGAGATTCCGATGCTTCTCTCTCAGGCAGGTGTAAAGGCGAAAGGCTAGTAGCTTTTCTTTTCCTGTATACTAGACAAATAGACTATCTTCCTTACATATCCTTCTCTTTTAATCTTATAATAAGAAAAATAAGTGCGTACAATAAAAAAAATAAAAGAAATAGGCCTTATATAAAGGCGTTGTTAGTCTAGTTAGTCTAGGGCATCTTTGCGCACAGGCTCTAGCTAGTCCACAGATGCTTCTATCTAGACAGAGAGGCAGTTAGTTAGGACTAATAATTAAAAAGCCTAATTTAGTGTTTTCTTTATACATACATTTACTAAGTTGTTTTTACTATTAATTTACTTTATTTTAGTAATTTCTCTTTTCTTGTATAATTTATAGAGTAACATAATGTTAATTATAAGTTACTTTTTACTAGTAGTGCCTAGCTTAATAAGGTAATTATATAGAGACCTTAAATCTATGTAGATTACTACTAAGATTAGTAGCAGTTTAAGTGTTTATATAATTTACTATAAAGTTGTACTAAAAGTAATTACATTATTGAACTTTTTAACTATTTTATATAGTTTACTAGTAAGAACACTTCTAGTTACTCTTTTATACTTAGTAGAATTCTAGTATATAATGTTACCTAGTATTTTAAAGTAGTTGCTTTACTCTATATAGTTTTTATTACTTAATATAATTAAAAATTCTGGCTATAAGCTAAAGTCTTTATTAGTAGTAAATAATTTATTTATAAAGATAAACAGCTTTGCACTATTAAGCTATAATAGTAAAAAAGTAAGACTATACTTACTATTATCTATCTACTATTAAATTTATATATTAAGTATGTTAATGTTATTATATAAAAGGTCTATAGTTTATGCAGTAATAGATAGGTTAAATGCTACCTCTAGTTAACATATAAATATGATATATGCCCTTTTTATATATTACTTAACATATTATTATGCAGCATTCTTATTTTCTATGTTAATTATATAAAAGTAGCTTACTTATTTCTTTTAAGTAAAGACTACTATGTTATGCGTAAGTTTAATCCTTTTACTATTAAACTTAATAAGCTACTTTTTTACTAAAATAGTCTTACTTTTTATGTAAAACTTTGCTTTTTATAGTTTCTTTTTTTCTTTTTACATAAAATCCTTTGTTATAATACTTAAAGTGTTATTTATTTATAAGCTAGTAATACTAAAAGTGTACTTTTCTTTATTAGTAATTAAAAAGTAGAGGTTATATAAAAAAATATGCATGCACAGCTTTTTTTTTATAGTAGTTATAGTATATCTTAAACTAATACAGTTCTAATTTAGCAGCTTTATATAAAAGTTATATAACCTAGAGTATTATATTTAGTAGAAAGCTTTAGTGCATTTTCTTTAGTAGCTTTATGTACAGTGTACGCATAAGCTTATTTATTAATTAGATGTATACTTATGTAATATTATATAGTTTAAAATGCATTTTATATATAGCTTTTAGGCTTACTTTTATAGCTAGAAGTAGTCTCTAGCTTATCTTCTAAATAGTTAGTAACTAAGTAAGAATTTCTTTTTTTATTTAAGTAGCTAGTAAACACTAGGCAGAATTTTTTATATAGTTAGGTTATTTTACCTTTTACTTTTTATATAAAGTAAAGGTTAAAAATCTAACTTTTATGCTTTATTAGGTTATATACTATAACTTTAAAAGTGCTATTAGTAATTAAAGTGTTTATCTTTATATAGTCTAATTTCTTAAATAGTTTTTTAAGTATAGTAATGTTAGATTAAAGCACTGTTTCTAGGCTTCCTGAGATGAATGATGGGTTTGGATATGATGTATGGGATGATGATTTTTTGTATTGATTTATCAATCCTTTTTCTGCTCTACTCGTGTTGCTCGGCTTTTTGTTTTGCCGATCCGAGTCTCTCGCGCACTTGCTCTATGCGCGACCAGCTTGCAACATGCTGCAATTTGCTGTAAAATGCTGCAAAATGCTGCAAAAATGCTGCAAAATGCTGTAAAATGCTGCAAAATGCTGCAACATACTGTTCGAGCTTATTGCTCGTACTATGTAGCAGCTTTCGTCAAGCGTTCCTCCTGTCTTGACAGTAGGTGCGCATATCTAACAAGTAATTACACTATCTATATAAAGCTTAATAAATAAGGCCTAATTATTATTATTTTTAGGTTAAAAATACTTAGTCTAAACTTTATGTAGGTTTCTTTTACCTTTTACTTTTTTTAGTATCTATATCTTCTTTCTACACTAGTGCAGCATTGCTATTCTAAAAGGCTTAGTCTATAGTAGGCTCTAGTTCTGCCTTTATAACATTCTTATAAAGTTATTTTTTCTTCTTTTTTATAAAAGATTTCTTTATATAGGGGTTAGTTTATCTAGGTTATCTATTATAAGTAATGTAACGGCGCAGGCAAGACAATGGGTCCGAATGCGGTATGAATCCACTCAGAGGCATATGGGAGTGCGTGGGGACTCAGAGACCTGGGAATACCAATGACACCTATAGGCCTTGTACGTAGGATATCAGAAAACTACCGAGCTAGCTACGGGGGCGAGGTGCGACTAAATACATGAGGGAATAGGGGTAACAGCAGGGGTCGGGGCCAGGTCGGGGTCGGGGCCGATACGGGGGCCTTCCGGGCCATCCGAGATGGAACGATTCATGAGGATCGTTACAAGTAAGTTATCTTTTTTTTCTCTTTATAGTACAGTTTAACCTGTGTATATTAGAGCTTTAGTAGGCTATTCTCTTTTTTAATAATAACATCTTTTTTTTTAATGCTTTTAATTTTATATAGGCTAGTCTAGCCTTTCTTCTCTTTTTATACTATAATCTTTAAGCTAAAAAAGAAGTTAAAAACTTTATATGTTATAAAGCTATTATAAGTGTTAATTATATAATTAATGTTTACTTTTATATAGTTTTTTTAAAGTATCTTTATTACCTTTTATACTGCGCTTGCTTATATAATAATGTTTAGTAATAGTAAAAAGTCTAAGTTAATTCTTAGGTATGCTCTAAAAACTAGCAGCGTAGGTACTAGACTATGTAGGCTAGCTGTGTTATTTAAAGCCTTAACTACTATCTATAAAATAGCTTTATTATCTATATATCTATATTAATAATATATAAGATATCTTTATTATTAATTTATATAACATTAATAATAACTTTATAGTTAAAGTAAGTATTATTTTTAATTATAAACTTAAATTTTTATAAGGCCTAGTTATATAATTAGTAAAAGTAGTAAAACTTCTTAATTTCTTCTAACACTACAGTATTAATGTTGTAGCTAGCGCTAGTTAGCATCTTCTAAAGTTTCTTTATATAGAGGTGTCTAAATTAGTAGTAGAGGCAGTAAAGTTTTAATTTAGTAAAAAAAGACATAGATTCTTCTTTACTAATATTAAAAAAAAAAGTGTTTTTATTTTTATATATAATAACATTTAAAATGTTATTAAAGTATACTCTAAGTTAGTTAGCATCTACTAGTAATAGCAGAAATAGTGTTAAAGTCTTTAGAATATAGTATATAACTAGACTAATTAGGTTCTAAATTTATATAGTACTAATTAATTTTTTTAGTGTTTAGCTTTTAAAGCTAATATTTATTTAGCTAAGTATCTAATTAATTTCTATATATAAGTTCTTTTATATATACACCTTAAGTTAAAACTTACTAATAGTAGAGATTTTTACTACACTTATGTCTTATAGTTTACTTTAGTATACTATATAGTATTAGTTATTAAGGATAAACTGCTTAGCATACTTTTTAGGTTTAATGCTGTAGATGTTTTTTTCTGTTACATAGTATAAATAAGCAGCAGAGGTAAAGTAGTTAACAGCTTTCTTAGCATTTTTACTTTTTTATTTTATTTTTTTTATATTATGTAAATTATTTTCTTTTTTAAAGTAACCTTTAAAGTTTTAAATATATAAGGTAATAGCTTTATATAATAAAGTCTTATTATAAAATTTTTTTTATAAGGCAACATACTAGTTCTTTACTTATGTATAGTTATTATAAGAGTAGTTTAATAACTAACATTTTTTCTTATAGTAAATAAAGCACTTCTTTATCTATATATAGTTGTCTCTAGATTATAGCCTAAACTTAGATAAAAATCTTCTACATTATTCTTTTTTATATAAAGAGAAGCTTCTTTTTTGTTGTGTAGACTTTTGTTATGCAAAGTTATATTAGCAGTCTATATAGTATACATTAGGCAGTTTCTAGAAGTATTAGTTTACTTTTTAGTTT